TTATTTCCAAAGAAGAAATTCAAACTACATGTTTTCCATTTCAAAATTGTAATGTGCCTGCTGGTGGAATTTTTCACAATTCCCAGGCAGGTTTATCCTGTAAGGAAGAGGTAAGAAGGTGTAGCATGGAAGGGAAGCCAGAAAAAGGAAGACAGAGGTAAGGATGAAGGAGGCCTGAAACTCTGATGTTGGTTTGTGACCAGGAATTAAGCCTCTCTTCACATTAGTTCTATACCAGCAATCAAATACATTGAGCTTCCCCCTACAAGTTCAGTATACACAGTGAACTTTTCTCTAATTTAAATTTTTTAAGAAAATTGTTAAGCAAATGTCGTGTTCTTTGTCTAACACAAGACACGTGGCTGTTCTCAAGGCAATTACACATTATTTTTCACATCAGTGTGAAAAAGCAACAACTTTTTTCCACTGGATCATATGAAAAACTATTATCTGGACAACTGTCAAACCAAAGGCACGGAGACACTCTCTCACAGCAACACTTTTGAATGTAAAATACAAGTACACTTCACTAGCAAGATGTAAAAAAAAATAATAATAAATAAGAGAAATAAACTAGAAGTTGCTTAATTGTGACCTTTAGATGGCAAAGCATCAAATTACCTTCAAAGCGTACCTGGTTTAGATGATGCTTCAAAATATGATTTAGGCCTATCAAAAATAAAACATACCTATATAATAAAACAATAGAATAAAGTTTTAATAATAATAGTAAATCACATTAAGAAGAATAAAGAAACATCAATATTTCCACAGGAGGAAGTTGGAAACCAAATACAAAACAGTATTCATGATTAGGATAGGAAAAACATTTTATTGCCCAAGTAACTGCACAAGCAATGTCATAGTAGTAAAAACCAGGGTGTGCTTATCTACATATGTACCTAAAAAGTGGAATCTTTGTCCTGCAGGCTAAAAGGAATATTATTACTCTGAAACCAAAGACAATAACTACGGAATAGTAAGTCAAGTTGCTTTCAGATTTGTAACCTATCATGGAGTTCAGTATTTAGCCCAGATGAAAGTATGATATTACAGGAAATTAAGGGAATGAAATATGTGAGATAAAGTTTAGGTCATTGAACTTTTCTGCTGGCTGCAGTGGATTTAATCACACTGACTCTGCTGCTGAGGCGTCTCTAAAAAACCAATAATGAGGGTTGCAGTGAAAGAATAAAACACAACTACGCAACACAGAGAACCAATCACTGGCTAATCTGTATTCTACTGAATTTAGTTCATGTGAGAAAATAGTGTGCAGATGACTGCCAGACTCCATACTGTCTCAGCTATCAAAGTCGCAGCACATTTTGGATAGAATGATAATCTGCTGTTGTACAAACAGGAGGGAAACCTGCACCACATTCTGGTTAGGTTAATTCAGTCATATACATACATACAATCATTCTTTTTAGTTTCAGGCTCTTCAGAAGTAGATTCTATTGTCCTAGACTGACTGGGTTAAATTCAGAGCACAACATCCTGCAAACTGCACCCCACTAAATGAAAGCCTAAGTGGATGCAACTGACTCGGGCAAACTGAAAGATTCTTAGCAAAGTCCACCTCTGAATTTTGTTCTACAAATTCAGGGAAAGAGCCAAGCAGCGCTGACAAACAAGCCCTGTTTACCTACTTTCATTCAGCTTTGATATTTATTATTTTGTGGAAGACAGAAAACCACAGCTACTGTGAAAGCAGAAATACTTCACTGAAGCTCTAGGTAAATCTCACCTGGGCAGGTTGAAAAATCATGATTTTTCTCACCCTGCTTCTGGTAAGTTGGTATTTTTTAGATGTTTGATTGTTCACTATTTCTTCTTCTTTTCTTTTTTTTTTTTTTTTTTTTTTTTGTTTCAGATAAGTTAGTGTTTATTTCCACAGTCACATAATCCATATATAAACTCTACATCATATTATTCCTCTTAATCTTTTCTCCTCCTACTTTTGGTTTCCATTCAGCTTCATTCTGTATCTGTCACAAGAGTAACAATATGCTTTCCTGTGCACAGACGTTTACAAAACTCCCTCAGCATGGCCACTATTGAAGATTTCAGTTTATAGCTTCCCCCAGTTAACATTACACAGCATTCCAGTAGGAACACAATGCAGGTATGCTATTTTCTCTCACCATTTTACAAAAAAACACATTCTACACCACTTTAAACAATCAGCATACAGTAGTTTCAATTTACAAACAAACTTCTGCCTAAATTTGCCTTACACTGACAGAAAATTAGAGAATAAGCATTAAATCACCACAGTGTAGACCCTGATGTGAGGGGTGTGGTTCCATAGGCATCACAGCCAAAGTCCCAGACCTGCAGTTTTACTGTCCCTTGCTTCTGCCCTCGTGCATTCAGCTCTGTCTGCAGGTGCCCTGAGCCAGCCTGGGGACAGACTGGCCAAATATCTCAGGTTACTGAGGCTGATATCCTGTGCTCAAAAAACCCAGCTTAAGGTTGTGCTACATTTTGCATTTTAAAGGCAGCTCTTCTACAAAGGAGGGAAAACCGTGGGTGGCCAATATAGAAAGGAATTTCTGTAGTCCTTGTGCTATGCTTTGTTTAAATCATAACTATTGAATGATCTGACACACTTATTCATATTGATCTACATTTTTTTTCTGGGAGTTGCCTGTTCCTGCAGCTGTGCCATGATAACGAGGTGCGTAGAGGGCTACGAGCACAGTGTTCAGTGTTTGAAATGCTGAGTTCAAGGTGTACGAGCCTGCCTTTCAAATATGTTTACTATTCTTCAGTCTTTTAGTTGATACAGTACTGATTTAATAAGAGAATGTAGTACATACAAGCCTTCTTATGCCTGCTTAGTGACACTTTAAAGGCTTTTTAATGAGAGCTCGGTCTGGATGAAAGATGAAATGTTATAACTGTAAAAAACAGAATAATGTGGGTTTTTTTTCTTTTGTAGATAGTTTGTTGTATGAGCTCAGTATAAATAAATATTCTTGGGAGCAACAGTAGAGATTTTACACTTGAATTTTTTTTTTAATTATAGAATCTCATTGCATGAAAAAAATGTTCATGCTATCATTGAAGGAGATTTTATTTTAGCTCTTCCTAGAGCACTGTGGTTATGGTTCGTTAAAATTCTTATACTCAGTATTAATAAAACAAAGCTCTTGTCTAACAAAGCTCTTAAGGTTATTAATTCATGTATATTTTCTTACGCATGTGATGTGTCACTGATTTTGATAGGGCTATACTCATGTCTTGTATTTCTAAACACTAATCTAGGCTGGGACTAGAGCCAAAGATTACTAGGCTAATGAAAGTGGTTTTGTTTATTTTTTTTTTTACTTTTGTAGACTTTTGGATAGGCTAGGTCAAAATCAGGTTAAGAGTGGATTTGTTGTTTGATTTTCTTTGCATGCATAGAAGTGACCTTGTTTCCTGGGTAGCTGAACTTCATTCACATTTGTGGAAATTATTAGAAGAAATAAAGTCCAACCAGTATTGTGTAGAAGGCAGACAATCCAGACATAAGATGGAAAGGGGAAAAATCTATTCCTGGATAAACTCTTGCTTTTGTTTTCTTTGTTTTGATTTTGTCACCCCAAAAATGTTAGGGTTAGAAAGGTAAGGAGCAGTACATTACAAGTGTAACTTTAGGAAGGTAATTTCCACAGTGGTGTGCCACTCTTGGATTATTTGACAGCAATGCTACAGCTATGGGCTTGTTAGAACTGAAGGAAGCTGTTGCTATCCCCTTAGCAGCATCTAATCCACCTTGAGCATGCTCATCAACATAGCTGGAAAATTAAAAGGAAATGGTAGTATAAGCTCTTATAGTGTATTGATTAGTGTCAGTGATTAGTGTAAGACTGAAAAAAAAAAGTAAGAATGAGAAACTGTTGAGCAGATTTTTCTTGAGCTGTGCTGGCTGACTAAGGGGCCTTGTCCCTTCATTTAGTCTGGGACAATTAGAAAAGGGCAAATAACACTGAAGATGAGTCCAAATTCTAATTTCAGTCATCTGTGTAGTAGTGCTGTCCTAATTTAAAAAAAATAATAATGTGCATGTATGGTAACGTGAGCCAGAGCTATCATAGTCGTAGATATGTCTCTTTCAGATGTTGTAGTACATCTCTTTCCAAAGTCTTTCATACTGGTATGCTGCTGGAATGATGCTGATAGTCAACACAATTTTAAATGACACCTCAAAAGTTGCAAGTCTCCATCTCTCCAGCTCTGGACTAATTTCATGAGTTTGAGTCAGCAGTGTGATGCTAATTTGTTTGTTATTTCTCTACCAAAGCTCATATTTCGTGCCATCCAACAGAGGAGGCTCAACAATTTCTCCAGAGGAGCTGAAGAACGCCCAGCTCAAATCACGCAGCTGTCAGCTAGGAGCATGAGGCTGACAAGAAGAATGAAGGGAGCAGAGCAGAAAGCATGACAGACCTCTCAGAGTGAGCAGGAGAGGAGTTATTCCCAAGCCCCAAAGGTCGGAGCCCACAGGGAAGGGAAAACAAACAAAAGCTATCCCGAACTACACACAGCTTTTATGATACTTCTACTTTTTGTGACCTGATCTTCTGATTGTCTTTACTAATAAGTGCTTTCTTCTTTTCATGCTGCATGTACATGAAAAATTACATCCACCTTCATTTTAACCTGCTGCCCTCTAGACAAGAAACACCATTTATACGGCTTCTTCATGTTCCAGAGAGATTTCTCACACCCACCTTAAACACTGCTGTGCTGTTAAGTACTCATTGGTATAGTAAATCTAATGCAAGCCACAGCAGAGGCAGAACTGCATTATTTAACAAGAGCTCCCACACTACAGGCTTTGTTTTTGAAGCAGCGAAGTTTCTTCCCACAAAGAACACAATCATATTTGAATTCCCAAGCTGTTCACTATAGCACTGCACTGCAATAAGAAGTGCAACAAAATTACAAAAAACAAACAAACAAACAAACAAAAAAACCCCAACACGTATAATCATTCCCACGCATACCTTCCCTAATAGCTGTAAATGGGGTTCCTTCTTCTTCTTGTAACCTTATCACCTTCAGGGCCACCAGCTTTCCATTAACCCTAAAAGGGAAAGAAATTTTAAAAAGATTAAAGCAGAAATAGTATTTCTCATAAGAGAACTTATTTCCTATCATGTACTTATTCAATTTCTTCTTGTCAATACCAGTGATTCATTTATAGCAATGTAAGAAATGCTTCATAGCTTCCATAATGTCAACTTTACATTTTCACACTCATAAGCAATCCAAGAAATGATCTCAGTGTTCTGTGAGTCAGCCTGTTTCCTTTCTATTGCAGCACTAAACCAAAGCTTTGTTAAGAAGTAGCACATTGAAAAACATGCTTCTATCCGTTATTTGATCAAAATGTTCAAGCAAAAAGGCATACAATTCTCATCAATCCTTCAACGAGCAGAAAATCCATATTTGTATTGATTGCTTTCTTTCTACTGCATCACACCTATAATTACTACCCTCCAAAAGCCATGGAAGTTTGAGATGGGAAATATTTTTAGGTCATTCTGGTCATTTCCCTTCAGGGCAGGATTGTTCCTGAGGTACTTTCTTGAATACATGGCCCAGGCTAATTTTAATTTAATGATTCACTTTTATAACATTAAAAATATTTGGTACTCAAAGGCACCAACAGAAACCACTTTATTTTCCAATCTATTTGGTTGGTTTCACTTCTAGAACTCAAAATTTCACTACACAAAAACCCCATTTAAGCCTTAAAAAAATCCAGTGGGTTCTCTTCATGCAAATTAAATATCACAAAAACGGAATGAAAATTAAAGATTAATATCAATTCCTCAAGAACAAGCTCATACTTCTGAACCTTTAACAGACTCCTGTGGTATGAGAAGAAATGGTAAGGGTAGGTTATCCAAATGTGCCAAATAAAAATTACTATTTCCTTTTCTCTCTGTAAAAGCAAAATTAACCCTTATAGCCACAAAGCCCAAGGAAGGTTTGGAGATTTCACACTCCTGTAGACATAGATGCATTTCCCTATTGCACTGGGCTCCAGAAGATGTATGCATTTTTCTAAGCAAGATGACACAGACACCTACCAAATCTGAATTTCTCTTCCTTAGGCTTTTAATTTATGCACTCATGTAGCTTCAGTAAGGCCACAGTATTATTTCTTCTGCTTAACTTTCACTATTGCCAGATTTTCATTACACCTACACAGCGCATCTCACAATGACACTGAGCAACTTAAGAAACTCTGGTTATCAAAAGATGGCTTACTCATCACCTCCAACTGTTCTTACTTGAGACGAGCACCAGCTCCAGTCCCAAGACACTAATCACTGTTGAAAGACAATCAGCAGCTTAGCCCCACTGCATTATCTGGATTTATCCTCATGATTACCAAAATCTTGCCCCAAGAAATGCTGTACAGGATGCACAGACAGGAAAATAAATCTTAATAAAAGCAGAAGTAGAAAGACTGATCACAGACATGTGGCTCATACCATGTGTAGTTTCCTGTTCCTCTGTCAATACAGCAGCCCACCCACCACATATATATATAAGATAGACACCTGGATAACTTGATTATTGTACAGTAAATGAAGTAACACTGCAGGAGGAATTTGAATAAGAAAGTTCATTCTTCTGATCAAGAACAGGATGAATGCTCTACTCAAAGAATACAATGTAAAAGATATGCAAAAAGCAGATCACCAAGGTACTAAGGAATGTGGATTTGGACTCTTGCCAGAGTGACCAAAAATTAGCACCTAACATACAGATTATGCTTTTTGTAATCCAAAGTTCTGCATTTCACTGACTTATTAACAGTAATAACACAAACAACAGTAGTATGGACTTGCTTTGATGGATTCACAATTACAGAGTGCTCTCAAACACAGTAGGTGGGCTGTGCTACTCAGTTATTACTGCCACTTTGTCATTGGTACCTATCATCATCTTGACAGACATCACAGCAACTCTTAACACTACTAAAATTACAGAGCTAGTCTTAAACAGTATTTCTCTGGGATTGCTTACTCCATTTTATTGTTGTTTGTATCCTAAATATCCACCTATAACTTCTCAAAAGCAGCCTCATTGGTCTCATATACTCCTCAGTCATTAGAACTTTTTTCTTGAGCTCATTTTTCTATAAACAGGACAATTTTTAAGTGTACATCTGGAGGTATGAGAATTGATGAAGTATCATCAATTAAAAGAGATAGGTGAGTATGTTTAGCTGCATCCTTTAGCTGCTCTTCCACTGATGCAACCTCGGGCTGCAGTTAGACGATACCGCAGTGATGAGCTAATGGCTACCTCGGGGTACAGCTGTGCTCCTGCTAAATCCCTGCTGCTGTCTTGTATCAGCTCTCGTTCTTACCAGACCCAACAGCAAAACACTTACTGAGCTTAAATAGGAAAAGATTGGAAACTGGCCCTTCCAAAAATTTAAATCATATTTTCTGAAAAAAAAGACGAAAGCATATTTCATATTTTAAAAAGAAAAATAAATCAACCACAACACTAGAAAAGGTACGAGAAGAAGCGGGACCACCCCTTTGAGAAGCAGCTCACCATGAGTTCAAGGCAGTTGCATCATTAAATGTTGTGGTGACTCGCCAAGATAATGTGGCAATTTCTTTAGAAACATTGCGAAAAGAAAAAAAAAAACCTAATAACCAGACATGGAGAAGCCTACTCTGTAACCCACCAGCATTGGCTTTGGAGACTTAAGCAGTGATCAGGTTAGCAGAAGTCCCCCCCAGACATTATTTCACATTTGTCTTACACAACTCACAAAGTATGCTCGCTGTTTTTATTACTTTTATATACAACTAGGAAAACTGACAGGCAGAGAGTATTTTAGAAGGTTGAAGCCAATGCTCTGTGCCTTTCAACGCCTAGGATTCATTAAGCCACCTTCCTTGTTTGTTGCCCAAAGGAAAGTTTCATGGCATCTCACAATACACTTCACATGGTCGAGGATTTTTCATTCTCTTAACTGTCCCATTAATTTCTACTAAGCATAATAATGATTAAAAAATTCCTATTTTCTAATATGAAAGCTTTCCACTTTCCTAAACTAAGAGTTCTTTCTCTTATCCAAAATCTTCAGGAAAAGGATAAAATTACTGAAGCCTCTCTAATGACTACACAGAGATTTTACTTTGTAATTTTAGGCAAATCACCAGCAGCTGCCGCTTAGTTTTCCAATTCATGAAAACTCAGCATTTTAAAGTTAGATAATAACTTCTAATACATTTCAGATTTTATATGCACTGCGGGCAAAAGAAAAAAGAGTCCAAATACTTTTATTTGGCAAATGGTAAAAATTTGTATATTATATTAAAAAAGAAAAAAGAGCCAGATGTTTTAATCTGTCTTTCAGCTTTTCATAAATCAGCTCATATTGGTGTTGCCAAACTAAATACATTGATATAAATGACTATTTTTGAAAAAGTATAGAAGATTATAAATGATTCAGTGCTTTAATGCATCATTAAGAACATATAGTAGTGTTTTCAATATAAAGAATACGAGCGAACTAATGACTTAATGGCCTTTACTGGAGGTAACACTGGGGATGCTGATAATGTTGCAAAGAGAACAAAAGAATACCATAGCACTATTTTCACAAGTTCTTCAGTTACATTTAGATGCAATAAATGTTCTAAGCATCACATATTCAAGATTCAAATAACATAAAATCTGCTGCCCTGGTTTCAATCTGCTTATCTATTAGAGGGTTGTACTGCTGGCTGGAGGTGAGGCTTAGCTCACAACTCTAGCATATGCGAAGCCTAGGAACACTCCAGCAAAGTAAAATCATTCATCAGCATTGCTGTGATAATCATGATTTTGATACTTACTTCAAGAAATTGACTTTTAAGAAGAAATGTAATATCAAAAACACATCTAAAACCTAAACCAGGCCATGGTGGCCTAACGAAACTTCTGCCAAAAGTTTCCTATGACAGAAACCTGTCAGAAGCCAAGTCCCTCTGCATTTACTCACCTCAGATTACTTCACAAAAGAGTAACTAATTCCTAATTTTTCATGATTCTTTTAACCACTACCACAAAATACAGTAAACATAGATTATATTTCTCTAAATATGAAGGACTTATACTTGGAATTCACAAAAAAGCATTTATAGTCCTTCTAGAGCCCTACTGTGTAATAAGAGAGGAAATAACATGGCTCATCACTTTCTCCGAGTTCTACCATCTTTTAACCTCCATCCTAAAAGAAAAACTTTACTTTAAAAGGAACTGGTGGTTTAAAGGCATTTCACATTGCTAATGCTTATTAGGGCATTTTTAAAAAAAATAATCAAAGAGTTCCAAGAGACATGACACATTTAAATTATTAACAAGTAGTGTCACTGGAAGCTGCGGATCTAGTTCTTCACAAGACTCAAATTAACCTCATAGAAGAAACACCGCAGCCCTCGCTTGAGTGGGAACCAGAGAGCAGCAGCACAGTATTTACCCCAGGTCCCTCTAGCTCCCAACCTACATATTCACCTTAAGGCAGCTGCTCACCTCACTTGTTTTCTCTACCTTCCTTCACTCAGAGCGGGTGAGGCACTGGCACTGCTGCCCAGAGAGCAGTGGGTGCCCTATCCCTGACAGCACTCAGGCTTGGATGGGTCCTGGGCAGCCTGAGCTGCTGGGGGGCGGCCCTGTCCATGGCAGGGTGGGACTGAATGGACTTTCAGGTCCCTTCCTACCCAAGCCATTCTATGGCTCTATGATCCCAATCGTACATATACATAACAGCGTCATTCCTCACAGTTGTATTCAATATAATTATGTTCTGTTCTGATTTTTCTGCCAGATTCTTCTCTGCAGTCCTGGGAAATACAATGGATTTTCTTCCCTCGTTCCCACAGCTGTCTCCAGAGATGATACTTTGTCACCTTTGCAAACTACTTTGAAGGTTGAAGCACAGCATACAGAGCATAATGCAGTCTTCAATATATACAAATACAGAAAACAGCCTCACAGTGTTTCTTTTAAACACAAATTCACTCATTAAGTGTTTAATATAGTCAACAATTCATCTTCCAGTTA